ACAGCAGTGTCCAAGGGGTTCATGCAAAACTATGCCTCCCCCCACAGCAGTGCTATGTGAAAAGGAAGGAGTCAAGAGCTTAAAACTTCTATTTGCTGAACTGGGTGAAAAAGTAATGAGGGAAATGCAGCTCTGTGGTTTCTCAGATCTGCTACAAAGTTAAATCATTAGCTGAGCCCAAATCCTTCTCCTTAAAAGGCTCTTGATGTGCTCTGCAGCTTTCCTACCCCGTCCTCTCTGAAACTGAACCCCTGGCTGAGCTGGCTGGGTTGCATGCATACATATATGCATGCACACATGCATACACAGATGCACGCACACATGCATGCGCACACATGCACACGCAGCACCATGTGGAGACTCTGGCTGGGGCACCCTGGCCTTGCACCTATCCAGTTTCTCCCAGGCACTTGAATTTCCCTGTGCAGCAGCAGGAAGCTGATCTGATCCCAGCTCCAGGGCACCTCTGAAGCGAGTTCCAGGGGCCAGCCTCGGGGAACATGGCCAGGGACAAACTCCCTGGGACACTTCAGCAACCCCTGCAGTTTTTTGGATGAAGAGAGGGCACAGGAGGCTGCAAGGAGTCCCAGACTTTCAGCTTCAGGATTGCATCGCTCATGTTTTCATGGTTCTTTTGTTCTGTAAATCAAGCAGGGAATCCTAAACCAGGATATAAATCCCTTCTAACAGCATATAGGCTTGAATACACAAAGGAGCATAGTGATTCAGAGGCCCTGGGTCTTACCCACCCCACCTCCAAATTTTGGCAGCAATCACTATTTAAGATCAGGCTTGTGCTCCACAGAATGGCTGCTGGTCTCACAGTGATCTGAATTGAAAAACCACCTGTGCCAACAACATTTCAGTCATACAGTGTGTATGAGTTTGTAGGTGAGACCTCCCCCCAGCCCCCTTGTGTGGGCCACCACAGGTTATGGGGTGACTGCCCAAGCCATCCAGCCCCACAGAGCCGGGGATCCCCTTCCTTTCTGCCCACCCCACCTGCCCTCCTGCCAATCAAAAGCTGGAGGAGCACCTCTGCCTGCACCCCAGCCCAGCACTGCTGCCCCTCTGCGGTGTTTGCTGCGCAGACCATGTTGGTAACCTGGCACGAGCCATCAGAGGGGGGTGTCTTGGGGGTACCATACGTCACTGCAAATACTCACCTGCAGCACTGCTCTTCTGGCCTTCATTTCCCCTCATCTTTTCCAAGGTGTTAACAGCACAGCACACCACCGTTGATGCTCAACACGGTGCCCTCCCTGTTTCACAAATACACAGTCACCCAGACGTGTCTGTACTTCCCTCCCCACAGTTTTGCCTATATAGCAGTGCCAAGAAAAGCTGATGGACTCAGGTAATTTTTGTCTTATCAAGCAGAGAATGATGACAAACCATAACATGCTTGAATCAAAATGACAGACCTTGAAGTAATGTTTTTTTCACTTTACACTGCCTGCCCTGCCTGACCCAACTATCAGCCGAGCTGCCTGCCACAGTGATTATTTCACCTACCACAATGAAAATCTTTATTGGACACAGCAAAGTCTTCAGTGTTAAAATCCAGCCCGCCTGGGAGATGAGCAGGATTCAGCTGGGGCTCAGCCTGTGCAGTAGCCCCAGCCACCCGCTGCTTCGCCCAGGAGCTCATCACCTCAAACCATGCTGCGTGCTTTTTCTGTTTGAGGGGAGGAACAACAAAAAAAAGTGGGTTAGTTTCAGCACAAATCGCCCACAGGGCAAATTTACAGCTCTGCCTACAAAGCACAGCCAGGAAAATGCTGAAGGCAGACAGACGAAAGCAGTACCGAGGTGAAAAGCCAGGCATTTTCAGCCCCTCTCTGGAATGTACTATTTCAAACTATTGACCAACACCATGGTTATGTGTCCAGTACGCATCACTTTGCTCACAGCGCACAGGCAGCAGCTCACTGATCCGGCAGCTGGTCCATGCTAGGGAAGGATGGGCGTTACACGGCCTCCAGAGCCACCTCCCAGACCTCCTGCCTCTTTGACCCTGCACCTCACCATCAGAGACGTGCGTCGGTAAACCTGCTGGCACCAACTGCACCCCATCCCCCACTGAAGGAAGACGATGGCAGCGGGGCCTGCGGTGGGGACGAGCCCTGTAGCTTCACAGGATGTCCTCAGTATCTCTCTTTTGGGAGTGAACAAAACCCTTGGATTCAAACAGCCAGGAGCTGCAGGTACTTGGACACCTATATCCAAATGTTTCCTCCTGGATCCCACCCCAAACTTGGTCATTTGGTGAAGCTGCACCCAGGAGGCATTGAGTGGGGCAGGAGGCAGCAGTGCTCCTGAGCTGTGCCGTCCCTCCTCAGGCTGACTGAAGAGAAAGCAGAATGAGGAAAAACTGTCTTCCAGAGGTCATCCTTATGTCAGAGTGAAATCTGGGTGTGTCCGCACTAGATACACATATGTATGCATAGATGGGTATTTAAAACACACCACATACTGGACAGTAGGGGAAAAAAGTCACAGTTGAGTGTAAGTAGCCATTGCAGGAATTACTCATTATCAGGAATAAAAATGTGGGAAATTAATCAAAGTAAATAAGAAGCTTTACGTATCAATCATAAACAAGACATCAAGCTACCTGTCAAGTCACGCCACAAGGGATGAGGCTTTGGGCAATGTGGTCCAGTGGAGGGTGTCCCTGCCCATGGCCGGGGGGTTGGAACTAGATGATCTTTGAGGTCCCTTCCAACCCAAACCATTCTATGATTCTATGATTCTGTGACTTAAGACACTCAGATAAATCAGTATCATCTCCAGTGTTTCAAGTATGTGTTCTTCAGATTTTTCTTCCGTCAACATTTTTTTGTCTGATAGTTTTACAACTTCAGCTCCTTTTCTGCTATAGGGATGTTTCCATCCTTCAGCTGCAAGGGGAGGACCCACTGTGCCAAAACACTTGAGCAGGTGCTGAACATTATACATTTGAATAGCTCTGGCCCCGCTGTCCAGCCTTGGTGTATCAGGGCTTCGTTGAATCGTAGGAAGCTGCACTGATGGTTGATATATATGTGGCAGCAGCCAGCCCTGCTCCTCTGCTCCTGCATCACCGCTGGTATGCCTGAAATGGTTCCTCAGGAAATGAGCAGCCGTGAGCACCATGTGCAGCACATGTCCATGTCTGTGTTAACAGGATGAGCTCTGACCTTGGAAAAATTCCTAATTACAACTTTCATGCATTCTCTGCCACCGTGATTTCTGTTCCTACTGTGTACTCTTAAGGGTCTCAGCTTTTGCATTGCAAACTCCTGGAGGCAGCAAGGCTTTCTAACTTTGGCTGCAAATATTTGCATACACACTGAGCTGTAAGAGACTTTCTCCACCGTTTATCTCTTCTTTAACACAGCTCTGTTCTGCTCAGTTTTTCTCACTTCTCCTCCAAAGGGAAAGTGACAGAGTCAGCTACAACATGCCTGCAAGTGCTGCGAGACAGAAAAGCATAACCATCCCTTCCCCCTCCCTCCTTTTATGCTTTTAGATAATTAGTTGAAAAAATACTTCCTAGATAAGACTACACCAGAAGAGAGGAGTGTATGAAGATTTGTAACTAGCACTGCGGAGAATTCTTTTTGACAAATGTTTCATTCTTTTGGAGAAAATAATGGTTCTTCAGTTGTTGTGGAACAACGCTCCAGCTGTGGTTGAGTTTTTCAGGTAGTTTTGACCAGCTGTTGGCATTCAGGGCTTGTTTCATGCTGCCAGTAGCCAAGGAGGGAGTGGTTGGGACCCCACTGAGGACAGCAGGGAGGTAGAGGAAGGGTATGTGGGAGGTCCAGTCCCCCCTTTCCACCTCCAACAAGGAGAGTGGCACACTCCTCCTTTCCTTGTTTCTTCATTTCTTTGTCGTGGCTGGGTAATTAAGTGTTTTATGCCAAATGAACAGCTCGTGCAGGAAGGGCTGACAGAGACCTACCTCAGAGTTACCAAATGACTTGAGGAGATCCCGAGTCAAATCTTTGCTCTCAGCATGAAGAATGGCAGGGAGCAACGTGAGCTCCAGTGCCCTTTCTTCTGAAGCATGTCTCCCAGCCATCAAATTAGAAGGAAAATCTGAAAGAGTGAATTTGGCTACTCGTATTATTTGGAAGAAAAAGAATTAGCAAAAACCTGATTCCCTTCCCCAGTAGAGGCACGTCAGGGCAGCGTTTCTGTGCTGCTATGGGCACCTCCCCGTATGTCCGTTCTCCTTGGCTGTTAAGGAAGACTGACTTCAAAACAAAGGTCTTTTTTTTTTTGACTATGAAGGTATAAATTTCTATGCCATTTATCCCAGCCATAGATTGTTTATTGCAATTTTACAAGCCAAACCTCCAAATCCATTAGCCCAATAGTTCTCTATTTGTCACTGGTATTTAAAAAAAAATATGCACAGGCTATTCATATTTGGTTTTGATAGTTAATGCACAAGTTTATTAGAGAGAGAACATATCCTGTGCTTATACCTACATACAGTGTTTATTTACACTTTTAAAGCATGTTTACTGACCTTAGCAAATAGTATTTCCAAGAAAGCTGCTCACAGGCTAAGCAAATAGCAAAGCAATCTGAAGATATTATTTAACGCGGGAAGTGACTCACTGGCTTAATGACAGGGAGGCCTCCACCAGCGAGCCAGGCTGCCAAGGCTGGAAACTCTGGGCAGAGGGAGGAGGCCCACCAGCACGGAGCAACACCATGCTGTGCAGTCGGGGGGGAAATGAGGTTTGCAGCCTCCGTGGCTGTGCTGCGAAGACTGGGTGCCATTTTGGAAACCTGAGCCGCGAACAGGCATTTTTGGATGGCGTGGTTTTTTTCCCTAGGAAGGGTTTGCTGTAGAGATACCCTCGTGTGTCCGTACCCATCAGCAGCTGTGCTGCAGGTGGGCAGAGAACAGAGGTGCCTGTACCCCCGGCATGGGCCAAGCACATGGCTATTCTCAGGCTGGAAAATAAACATATTTTTGTTGTGTTTTCCCCTCTCGCCAGGGCCTGTCTAGCCCAATGCTGCGCTGCCCATCCCAGCGTCTCCTGGACAGGATAGTGCGGCGCTACGCTGAGGTGCCAGACGCTGGCAGCATCTACATGGACCACCTCACCGACCGGGACAAACTGCGCCTCCTGTACACGCTGTCAGTGAATTCACACCCCATCTTGTTACAGGTACGTACCACCTCACCCCTGCTTGAAATGCCACCCTGCAGCCCCTTCCGAGCAAACACTTGCATGTGACTTGCCCACCCCCAGCTGCAGAGGAGTCCCAGCCCTGGCCTTTGGCAAGCTCCCTAGCCTTCATAAAGTGAATTTCTTCTATGGGGTTGGACGGCTGAAGCCAGGCAGATTGGCTGCTGATCCTGCGGTGCTCCTTGCATCAGCCTCTGAAGTTGTAGAGAGATACGGATGCCCAGCCCCTTAAATAAATCAGAACTCAAACAGATTATTGCACTAGCGCACTGTGAAAGCCAGGGTTTTACACATCCCCAACACTTCACAGTGCTATGTTTGCATCGCTTATATATTACTTACAATCTCCACCTGCTTATAAAAGAGCTTGCTTTAGCAAGGAAGGACCAAGACACAGCACTGAGGTTGATCATGGACTTGGGCAGTACTAATTCCCAGGCTCCACGTGCCAGCGCTGTTTTTCCTGTTTGCATGCTGCTAGTAACTAGCTCCATAGCAAAGTGTAGCTTTGCAGAGGTGTTTGGTGAAATCCCAAATACAGCTGAGATCTGAGTTTGAAGGCAGAGAGCTGTGAGGCCTTGCGCCCCTCCCTGGTCCCCTACTGGCATGTCTGGCATGTGGCTTCACTCTTTTCT